ATACATCTTGGGTCAGCAGCAACAGCAACATCCACGGTTGCTCACAAGCACAAGCGTATCCAGAGAACTCGCTTGCAGCTACGTTGTTGAAGGGCTAATCCACTTGTGTCTCGATGCCCTATTAAACGTCCTTCTGCCGCACGAGGAACAGTGGTGCTAGGAGGTCCGCTTCTTCGTTCCGTATCCCGAGTTCTCGCTCTCCTGTAGCTAAAAAGTAGGGGAGGGACGGAGGGAGTAGCGGGGGGGGGGCGCAAGGAGAACCAGCCTGGTTATCACAGTATTATGACAGAGCGATGCTTGAATGCATCACGTAGGGCGATATGAGCGATTGAGCGATCCCGGAGAGTCGTGCGTGAGGTGGTAACTACTGCAGGCGCAAGAACACGCCGGACTCTATTGTATCACTGCGGCGGCGCAAAGCAACCATTACTCAAGCATGGGAACAAGAGAAGCAGACCGCACGGCTTGCCAAACGTGCTTTACTACTCCCTCGGGCATGGTTCTCGGGCACCAAAACGACAGAAACATCGGTTGGTCCTACATGCACAACGAACGAAACTTGACCATGGGAGACGCAAAAGGTCTATCTCATCGATCTAAACATGTAACTGCGGAAGACAAGAGGTAGTGACTACACACAGAAGGCCAAGCACCAGCACGCGAAGAACAATCACCTGCGGGGAGGGCTCGTCTACCAGAACGTCGATGACATCGCAAACAGCCCACGAGTGTTGACGCGAGAAGAGTTGCAGGGGCTGTCTGAGTACGCCTTCTCGAACCCCAACGTGGATTCGAACGCCTCCACCTTACCCTGCTGAGCTTTTTCTCGAGCGCGTTCAGCGCGGCCGACGCCACTCTACCCGCCTCTTCGTGGTCCGTGACAATCAAGAGGGGGGGAGAGTGGCGTCGACCGCACTAAACCAGGTTGAAAACAACGCCAAGCAGGCTGATGTGGAGGCGTTCGAATCCCTGTTGGGATTCGAGCAAGCCTACGCGAACAGCCACTGCAACTCTTCTCGCGTCAACACTTTCTGGGCTGTTTGCCATGTCATCGACGTTCTGGTAGACGAACCCCATCAGGGATTCATACAATTATTCTCGCGTCAACACTCTCTAGGCTGTGTAACGAAGAGGCGGCTAGAGTGGCGTCCGCCGCGGTGGACGAGATTGCCGAGGAGGCCGAGCGCAAGGTCGCGGAGCTGGAAGCGTTCGAACCGTTGTTGGGTTTCAAGGACGCGTCAGGCGGTGGCCGCAACACGAACAAGGAACTTCATCACCCCTGCATGTCAAGTCAGCAACAATAACGTAGGGGCGTACAGGGGACCAATCCCACGGGACCGGAAGTGCCACCGCCGTACACATAACAAACCCCAACAAAAGCTCCTGCAACTGGTGTTGTGTTGTATTGATGTAGCCTACTTTTGTTGAGATTCAAGTCACCGGCCGGTCTCGTCATACCGCGGGAGGGGCAGAGTCACTGCCGTTCCAATACGTTTGGATCAATCATCTCCACGTGCAGCTGACCGTCAAAGCGCTTCTCATCCTAATGTTGTCTCCTCGCCCAGAGGGTGTCAGCGCCCGACTGGTACAAGGTTGCGGCCGTTGGTCAGTAATAGAAGCGCGCGGGGAGCGGCGGGGCGGGCACAGAAGAGAGTTGCCGTCAGATAGCAAATGCACGAAGCAAGCGATCAGGGTATCGAATGCAGCGGGGAGCAAAACGTCCGCAAAGGAAGTACAGTAGACCGTCCGCCCGCGTGCACAGAAGAGTTGGGCGGAGGGAGCCAGCTGACCAAACATACCAGAATATGCGCTTTGTAGCGTAGAACCACGTCTGTCTCCCAATCGTCCCACCGTAGGGGTGGGGGAGCATCTCAAAGAGTTGGTGCATTTCGATCACTGACCACGCACTCCTCTCTCTCTCCCCTTGAAACAGAGACAGCCGCCGCCGGGTGCTCTTCAACTACCGTATTGTCTACCATCCTTTTCTCAGTGAATATTTGCCAGGGGAGTGGACAGGGGCGAGAGAGGCTCAATCCGCAAGCCGTCTGACTTCGCAGGTGACATGTCCGACAAATGAGATCGATAGCGATTTGATGTACTGCCCAGCAACTCCACCGCTCGCTCCCACCCGACAAACGAGGCCGAACAAAATGAACGACAAACCACGCAGCAAGAAATAGCACGTCATCACAATATCACCAATCAAGTGCAGCAGACATATGGTGCAAACGACACCCTTTTTCTCTCCCCGGTCGAGGTGAAGTGACAATCCGCATGGCTGGTGCTGCCCGAGAGTAGAAAGTCGAAAGTTGAAGTACGACCATACAATATGTAGTCTATGTAGAATGCTGTATACTGTGGTCTAGGTAAATAGACTAGTCTACACTGCCGAGGGTTCCTCTGTGGTGTAACCACGGTTGGTTCACATGTCTTCAGAACGAAAAGCTCTGCCGCATACCAGCACTAGGCACAACAATGCAATACAGCTGTACAAGAGACTCAAGGCTCTAGGTGGGCTGGTGCAGGAAGTCCAACAGGGTGATGGTGAAAATGCTCCGTCAACAGGACACAAAAAGACAGCAAGACAGCGGAAACAGGCCTGAGTTCCACCCCGTGCCTCACCTGCTGTACACGTAACATGCTTGATGGTCCACTCCACAGGCTTGCCTCCTTTTCATGGGGTGTGAAGTCGCCGGGCAGGGTTTGCAGCAAGCCTTGTCCGTACAGAAGTAGGCACGAGCAGGAGCACGGCACAGCAGACGGCAGAAGGCCGACCCAAGTGGACAAGTAAGTGGACAACTTGGTGCGGAAGGCTGTGGAGCACGCGGGACGGAAAGCACGACCGGCAGAGAGGCACATCACATCACCCAGTCCGTCCTCACCCATCACACCACCGGAGTTCGGAGTTCGGAGATCAGAAGCTCAACAACAACGACCAATGTACATAGAGCAGCTGGCACGCTGGCACCGAGCACACTCAAGCACATACGGCATGCAGCTGCAGTCTACAGTCTGCGAAAATAACTACTGTACATTCGCTGACGGTTCCGGTCGCGAACCGGCACGGGAACCAGTGTACGCTGCATACCTCACCGAACAGACCAGGACCAGGAGATGGGAGAGGGGGTGAGCGGGAGAGCTACACGTGGATTTGTGGGTCAGGCTCACGGCCCGGAGTCATGGCTGATTCCGCCCAAACCAGCTGCTACACTTTCGATATGTCGCTATGCAGACCGTGTGGTGAATTGCGCCTCTTTGTTCTCGTGACTGCGCCTTCAGAGGGCGGTCAAGCACAACCTACATTCTCTCAAAAAATCGCTGAAAAAATTCAAATTGATTTCCAGGATCCTCGAATAGACTCGCCGCAGGTCGTCAGTGTTGCTCGAGTTGCTGATCTGTTCGGATAGGACGCCTGCACGGCAAGCACCTGAGCTGCTGTGGCCATCATCTGAGAGCTCGACGAGTATGGTAGACCCTTGCACTCCAACCGATCCATCCGGTTTGGCCCCGTGCTGTGTGTTCATCTCGCTTGCTTGACCTCGTCGCCTCCCGCTCTCTCGTGATCTGTAATGTCTCTGTCATCTTTTTGATGAGACAGGATGAACATGACAGGAACGGACACGCTGAGACAAGCGGACGTGTAGGTGTACTTGATCGGAGATGCACAGCAATACAGCAACCGGAGTCACCCCGAAAGCTGGGGAATATCGTGCACAAGGCGACAATACCACATGGATGGGTAGGTAGCACCAGAACCGTTGTGCCTTGCACCGCGGCGTGGGCATTCATCCGCTCTGTCTGGACGGACGGACGATATCATCCCATGAACACCGTTTTGCTTTTGCCGCCCAGACCCAGAAATTCAAAATCTGTGCGTTTGCTTCGAATCGAGTTCGTGCCATGTTGGCCAATATCGGTTGGTGTTGATGATGCAAACTCTTCCTTCCCGACTGAACCCGCACACTATAGACTACATAGGTGGACTGCTGTACTGTGCAGACCAAGCGGCAGCACGGCAGCATGCAGCAGCAGTTGCACACAATGTGTCATGAATGACGGATCGCAGCAGCAGCAGCAGCAGCAGTTCACTCTCATTCTCACCTTTACTTCGCACCTCTCCTAACCGAAACGAGGATGTCTGTTCGATGCGTTGCACCACGTACCAGCATCTATCTCCTCCAATGCCGGCAAGAGCTCAGCCGCCACGCCCAGCACGTCCAGTCCATCCACACAGCGTCTCGACTACGGGGATGTGTACCGTAAACAATCGTACATGCTGTTTCCCTCACACACACATGACCGCCGATCGAGCGTCCCAAGAGAGCGATGCAGAGAGACGGGGGGGTAGGGGGGCTGGTATCCAACACGCATTGCACGAACCCCCTTCTCCCTCTCGTGGCGGTGGGTGCTCCCGGCCCACACACTCATTCCTCTCTCGCGCTCTCCTCTCAGCAGACGCTAGACTGGACTGCTGTACATCGCCGACTTCGAGCCTCCTCACCATCGGGATACTCTTCAAGTCATCATGCCTGCTACTACTGCCACTTTCACCTCCACCTTCAAGATCACCACAAGCGCTACCTTGGCCATGCGCCTGGCCTCTGTCAACAACGGCCGCACCATCCCCAACAAGCGGATGAGGAACGAGCTGGATGGGGATGACCTCGCCTTCGACCTCGAGGCCAACCGGCCGTGTAAGAGGCACCGGATCCAGTACTATACCGAGGTGAGATCCCACTGCCGCTGTAGGTTACTATATATCTTTCCCCCTCGCTGAGAGACTTGGGTTGGCTGCTGGCCCAAGTGGTTGCTTTTGGGGACGGATGGCTGGCACTCTTGGAGAGATCCATTAAAAGCAAGGATTCGTCAGGGGTTGAAGGGTTGGCTACGGGGAGCGACCAGCAGCTGTTGAGGTCACACGCAGCGCGGAGGAAACCACTGATCATAGGCTCCTGTCGTACCACACGGCTACCGAGCAAACCTCACACTCGCGCTGGCCCACTGCTGTCCCTCGCCGCTTGTGATTGCCGCGTGTCCATCGTTGGCGCCCACATGAAAACACCATTTCCCCCGGGACCATCCAATTGCTGTCGTTCATATCCGGGCTCTCCCCTTTTCCCGCAATCCTCCAAGCAGTCCACACGCGCACGACTGAATGCGAAACACACCAACCTCCTGGCACAAATGAATCAGTTGGAGCAATCGAGATTTCATTTTTCTGTCCATGAAATTGAGCCACAACCTCGCACAGCCTCTCAACCAACGCACATGCCACGCACATACCACCGTGTAACCGACCTGCCCTGCACACAACCTCCATCTTCAACCTCAAACTGACCCCATACAATGTACTCCTCCCGGATCTGTGTCACTGTTCACGCTCGATCTGCAGGCGGAAGAGGACCTGTTGGTGTCGATTCTCGTTCAGGGATACGAGAACGCGGTGAAGGACAGCCCGTGCCCTCAGGCGGAGCAGCAGCACCAACACACCACACCCAAAGACGAGGCCCTCTACGCGGCCATGAAGGAACATGAAGCCTCTACCGCCGCCCTCGCCGCCAGGGCCAAAGTATACGCGCAGCAAGTCGCCGCCGCATCGGAGGATCTTCAGAAGGCGATCGCCGAGGCCCGCGAGCAGGAGGCCATCGCGGACAAGGCGCGTGCCAACAGACATGACCGCGCCATGCAGTACGTCGGTGCGTCCGCCATTTATGAGGGGTCCCAGCTTTATGACGAGCCCTGCCGGGAGCAGTGCAAGAAGCGGGCCAGGCAGGAGCGGAAGCCGATGCCCTTCAGCGACTTACAGCAGGCCTCGGAGGATGATATCTATGAGTTGATTTGGCTCCAGAGGCAGTCGCACCTGCAGGAGGCCAGGAAAAACTTCGAAGCAGAACAGAAGACCCTCCTCACGAAGAAGGCGGAGCGGGACCAGCTCGCCCGCGAGCACGACAAGGCGGAGACAGCGGCATCAGCAGCGCTAGAGTCCCTCAGAAAAAGAATGAAGCAGGCCGAGGTGGACGCGTTTGACTCCCTGCTGGAATTTAAGCAAGCCTACGCCGACACTCCCTGCGACTCTTCGCGGTTCAACACCCTCTGGGCCGTCTGCGATGTGATCGACGAGCTGGTGGACGGGCCCTCCCCGCAGGTGATTGTTCTTCGCGTGCTGGTGCTTGGCCTTCTGTGTGTAGTCGCTACTGTACCTCTTGTCTTCTTACGCATTAAACAACTATTCGTGTACATAGATAGATAGGCCTTTCTTGTCTTCATGGTCAAGTTTCGTTTGTTGTACCCCTGTAGAACCAACGTGAGTCTTGTTTTAGTTTGCGAGAACCATGCCATAGAAAATGGTACAGCGCGTTTGGCAAGCCGTGCGGTCTGCTACTCTTCGTCCCACACTTTGGTGCTGGTCGCTTTGGGTCGCCGCTGCAACAGAGTCTGTCGTGTTCTTCTTGTTCATGCCGTACCCGCTCATGCACTTCTCTCCAGCATCGCACCTTCGCTCATATCACCTAACGTGAGGCTGAACTCGTTCGCTCTGTCATACATGTTACTATTCAACGTTATTTACCAGGCTGCTTCTCCTTGCCCGCCCCCCCCCCCAACTACATTTCTGCTACAGCAGAGAAAGAGTGCGGGTCGCAGGAGGACCAAGCGGACGAGGTCCTCCCGCTAAGGACGACACAAGTACACAACAGTGCTTGGACACCGTAACTACATACGAATTTTCTCTGAACGCGTGTGCTTGTGGCTAGTCGGTGTTGTTCCTGTTGCTGCTTTCATCCAGGATGTGGTTGTGGGGTGATGCTTGTGTGACATGCGTAGTGTTGATGGCGATGGCTACGGCTGTTTGCCTGTGCCTAGCAACAACTGCTGCTGCGGATTTTGCTTCGTTTGAGCCTCCCATCGTAACGCCTAGGCGTGGATTCGTGTGAGATGTCCGAGGAAAAACCGCCTGCGGTATGGGGTAGTTATTTTTGGTGGTGTCGATCTAGAGGAGCAGGGAGATTTTGGAAGTGCATGCGGACTGACCGTTGGTTGTGTAGAACAATTTGCTCAGGTTGCTCCTTGGTTGAATCTCCATGTTGTGGTCTCTTCTCGCGTCAAGAGTCACGGTGTGCTCGGAACCCGTACGTTCATTCGTGCGGAACTACGGAGCACCCGTCTTGGCGCTAGCAAGCTCTGTACAATGTGGTTGAATACACACCATAGGAGACTCTGCCACCCAGTGGGCGAGGAGCAATTGTTTTTCTGTGGGGGTGGGGGCAGAATACACGGGAATCAACTTGGTTTGATCTCCACAAAGAACGGTATTTAGTCTCTCTTTCTCGCGTCAAGCTCACAGCAGTGTGCTCGGAAACCGTGCGTTAGTGCGGACATACGATGCACCTGTCTTGGCGCTTGGAAGAGTTCTGTACCATGTGGTTGAAATCATGCCGTCGGTCGTGTAAAATAGCGAGGAGCACTTTGGGAGGGGGCGGTCGTGATAAAGAACAAAAGACCACGTAGTTAGTTAATGGCACGGTAGAAGTGAGTGTCGCGTTGTCTACGAAGGCATTATTAATTGTTAACGAGTGCGGGAGATACGTACATGGATGCTGTTGCGCGGTCACTGTAGGTAGGGATGAGAATCTGTGCCGTCCCACCATCGTTCTTGTGTTGAGTAGTTGACCTAGGACACGTCGGTCGGTCGCGTGACGCCACACATACGTTTACGTTTACGTTCTTTGTTGTTCAAAAACGATACTTACTTAATTGTACTTGTTGGTTGGCATCGTGTTTGATTGTTGGTGCTGTGTGTAGCCAAGCCGAGGGATGCTACAGTAACTTTCGTTGTGTGTGGTGAAGTAGTTATTTGAAAGAAAAGTTTACTCGTCCAACAGACAGAACAGAATGGCGTTTGTTGGTGGAACATTTTTCGAATTGTAGCCTCATCATTATAGTTGTTCGGAAACCTGGGGTCACGAGGGGAAGAAATTCGAACCCCCGTCCCTGTCATTCCTTTGAGAAGAGAGCACGAAGTGGTATAGCATACCGAGTAACGAGCGGAAGCTGCAGAGCGCGCGAAGAGAAGGAAGGACAGCAGTGGCCGCGCAACGTAGGAAGCGGCAGTATAGCAAAAACCCCGCCCTCCCATTCCTTTTCTTTCGGAGGTGGGGGAATAAGCTCGGGGTATTCGGTTTCTAGTTGGGGTGTTGTAGAATGGTGTGTACCATTGGGGCTTGGTCAGTTTCGGGACTCGTGCGTTTGCAGTCGCAGTCACCCGGCTGGTATTATTTGCGGGGAGTGAGGCAGGTTTGAAAGAGTCAACGCCGCGCCTCGTAGTTACTGTGGCTGGTGAGACGAGGGGCGTTCCGTGTGTCTCACTCCCCAACGTGTCTCCTAGAAACCGAAGAAATAATGAAGCAATTCGAAAGAAAACAACAATAAACACACACATTTCGTCGACCTGAGAAAACCACCTGGACAATGGATGGGATTTTGTGCGCCCTTCTCTGGTTGGTCCGAAAGCCTACTGTAGATTTTTCGAAGGCCGTGGCGTGCGCCGACCGTGCCGCATGCAGTGCTTCGCTTCGAAACCAACGCAAGAAGCATGCTGACGAAAATCTCAAAGGCGGCAAGCGTGATGCTAGTTGGTGAGTCGAAAAAAGGGCAGCTACAGCAGCACATCCCACCATCCGCTACGTTCGATGAGCGTGCTTTCATAATGCAGCAGCGCGGAACGAGAGCGTTAAAACCGCAACCTTGCAGGCATTGAAGGACGGACGGACGGACGTAAGTTTGTTTAGGCGTTCGATTCTCGACGTTCTGGCGCAAGCCCGCCGGCCAGCACCCACAAACAAGCAGCACATTTCGCAGAGTGCAGCGACGGGTGTAGGTCTACAAAGTCGACAACTCATGCAGAGAAACTTGGGAGTTCTTCCTTATGTTCCTTATGTATATGATGTACGCCATCACCCCACCACCAACAACAACAACACGCACATGTAAGAGAACCCCAACCGCTGCAAACCATCCTCGGTGAATAACGTGTCAGGTTTTCGAACCGCCATGCTTCCAAGTCCTCACGGCATACCTTTGCTTCTTCGCCGAAAGCAGCATCACCCCCTTCCAAGCCATGGTAACCTCTCCAACCCCCTTCTCTCTCTCTTTCTCTCCCTCTCAGGCTGCTGAAATGTTGTCCAAGCATGGCAGGCACGCGATTCTCCCACCGCTGTGACCTTAGTGGCGGCAGCTGGCGTTGGCGCCACACCCTGCCCATTTGGCACCCAAACCCATGAAGTCAAACTCCATCGGCAAGCGTAAATGACCCGCCGTCGCCTCCTGCCGAAACAACGACCACAGCTTGCCAACGGCTCTACTACCGCCTTCCGCCGCAAACCAAACAGAGGACGCGTCTGATTTTGGGCGGACCAGGGCACTCAACCCCGTCGGCCATCACGTTTTGTGTTCACGAACGCATGGGTATAATCGATTGCCCGAAGAGCGAACAAGAGGTACAGGGAATCATCATCAACGCACGCCAGCGGACAGCCAGACACCCAAGCCCAGCCAAGAGAGAGAGAGAGAGAGAACCAAGCCCTTTCGCGGTATGCGGTGCATCTCCTAGCGATACAACTCCATGGTGCAATGCGGATCCTGTCTTCCAACGCCCCCGCGCGCTTCCTGGTGCACCGCCGAAAAAAAACTCCCCTCCCCCTCCTCCCTATTACTACGCACACACCCCTTCGTCTCCCCCCCCCTTGTCCCTTTCCTCTTTCAGCCATCTCCTTAACCCGTTGCTACTCTCCTTCTATTGTGCCAACTCGTGCATCGTTCATCCACCATTCTCTCCTCCAAAGACCCGCGCAGCGAACAAACACGCCTCTTAAGGCGTGGAACACCAAGGCCGGCTTGGCTAATTGAGTACCTCGACAATAACAATCACATAGCAATAACAGTAACACCAACAACCACGCACGCTGTCCTTCAAAGGACAGACACCTCGCAGAGGGCAGCGATCCCCCCCCCCCCACCCCGCCCCAGTTCGCTTGAGAATCTGCGGCGATCTCGCCGACTCGGGGACATAGCTAAGCGTCACATCACCCCCCCCGTCATTTTGCGAGGGGGCGGGCCGGGTTGGTGACATGTTGCGACAACGACAACGAGGGGATGATACCTTCACCCCCTCATCCCACTCGCCCCCGCCCGCCCGTCCGTCCCCAAAACAATCTCAAAACCAAGACTTTACTATATGGTACGCCTTCGTTTCACCACCTGACCTGACCTGACCTGACCTGACCTGACCACGGATGGATGAAACAATCGAAAGGAGGAATACGTGGGACTCTGCAGCAGCCAAGCAGACTACTTACAATAGTCTGGTCCTCGTTTGGGCTCTCGGGAGGGCGAAATCACAAAAAAAAAAGCAAAAGCATTCGCGGGCCCAGGTTCGGAGAACGAGCGCTACTAAGGTCATATCACCTCTCGATTGTGCTAAGCGCGCCCGCCCGTGTCCAATCACGTCACGCGTCAAAGTCACTGTCGCCATCCTCTTACTCCTCATCCTCCTCCTCCTCATCATCATCATCATCTTCTATCGTCGGTCTACGCGGCTTCTTCGACACGCTTCCACCGCCCCCCCCACTGCCTCGCCTCTTCTTGCCCGACGAGGACGCTTCGCCATCATCATCATCATCATCGTCGCTGCTTTCCTCCCCCTCCTCTTCCCCGGACGACGACTCGCTGCCGCTCTCCTCTTCTCCACTGCTACCGCCCTCCTCTTCCCCGCTGCTGCCGCTACCGCTCTCTTCCTCCCCGCTGCTGCTCTCCTCCTCGCCGCTGCCGCTGCTGCTACCGCTCTCTTCTTCCCCGCTGCTGCTGCTGCTGTTGTTGTTGTCGTCATCGTCGTCTTCGACCTTCTTCGCCTTACCCTTACCCTTCACCTCCGGATTTTTCGGCGATGCTGCAGACGCAGACGCAGCAGCAGCGGCCGGTTTCTTCGCAGCGGTAGCGGCAGCGGCAGCAGCAGTCTTGGGGGGTATCTTAGCCGTGGCGGTAGCAGCAGCGGCATCGGCCTTCTTCTTGCCGCCGCCCGGGGGGCGGGGAACGTCCAACACGCTCTGTTTGGAGTTGTAGAGAGTCTCGTACGAGAAGTTCCAGTCAGGGGGCACGTTCTTCGCCCACACGAACTTGTTTTGCAGAGTTTTCGGGAACCCCTGTTACATGCTTTGGAATCGGAGGGAAAGGGGGGGTTTTCCGACTTCCCGAACGGGGGGGGGGGGGGGGGGGGGCAACGGAGCGCCCTACAGCCAACGCGGGGAAACTTTTCCGCGTCTGCCGCAACTCTGAGAATCAATGCAAGGTGATGGAGGCATGTTTGAAACAAGGAAAAAGCGGTGCGTCAGGCACCAAACGATACGTCGTGTTAGGCGTCAAACCAGTCTCTCGTTCTCGTGTGCCTAAAACAGTGCAGCCGTGACAGGTATCTACACTATCCACACTCGCTCTTGCCGTAGCCTCCCGCAGTTGCAGGATAAGGTACATGCCATGACCACAACATTGCGTGGCCGTTCTTGCCGAGATGACTTCAGTTCGATAAGGAGCGCAATAAGAACAAAAATACAGCCACCACGGCCAAACAGAGGTCGGGAGAGTTTCCTCATTGATCACATCCAACCGAACAGATTCCAACCCGACGTCTACAGCAGGACACCCTGGGCAAGCACGGCACACCAGCATGGGGAAGGCTTGCTTACGCGAGGCGAAAACCAACCCCACTTGCCTTTTCCACAGGGACCTCGTGACGCTTGCACCATGCCACGCTCACGCGAGGGTCCATGTAGTTGATCTTGGACGTGCTCAGCGATACCTCCTTGTTGTCGTCACGATCCCGGATGTCGATCTGCGCCCCCCCCAAACAAATCGACCAAAACAAAACAGGCATGAAAAAATGGAGGGAAAAATCAACACGCAACACTACCAGTACCACCATAGAGCAGCACTATAACAGTACTTACCAAGTAGAAGTTTTCGCGAGTGGTTGGGAAACTGCGAGAGACATGAAACACAGGGAGAGGGAGTGTCTTGACTCAAGCTACGACGAATATCGCCTGTGCCAAACACACTCAAGGTCGACAAGTGAAGCAGTGACACAACAAACACGAGACCATACTCGACACACGTGTTGAAAAAAACGTGGAATTCCACTTCGAAACATTTCTTTCAATTTTCGTGAACATGCTTCATCTCGACTCTCTTGTCTCTCTCACGAACGAGCGGAACGCTTTTAGTCAAGCTTCCAGCTCTAGTTTCGCCGTGGACTCGCCAAAAACACCGAATGCTGGATCAAACCATGAGGGGATGACATGCACCACAGTGGAAAGAGCAACAGCAGCAGCGGCGGCCTTACCTGAAGCTTCTTGATCTTGTCGCCCCAACGTTTGATGCCCCTTCACACTCTCCGCGCTGGGGTTCTTGGCAAACAGGTGCATCGCCTCCTGCCTAGCCTGTTGCGCCGCTTTCCGTAAGGCCTTCGCAGTCTCGCCAGCCTTTGTCACCGCCACCTAGTTAGGCATCCAGTTGGGCGGTTGGGTGCACTGCTGTGTTAACGGACGGGCCTTGAAGTGAAACGTTTGTGTTTTGCCCCTTGCCCCGGGCAGCAAGTAAACTACTTGGTACCGTCCGTGTCAGCAAACAACCCGCCAACGTGTTGAACGAAACAAGGGGGGGGCGAATCCAACAGAAGCGGGCTCGCGGCGGGCGAGGGAGGGGAGGGGTAGTGCGATATTGCGGGACCCCCGGTTCAATAGCAGTACTGCAGAGAAGAGCATCTCCACCGCGGTGACTCACACCGTAGTCTACAGCAGAAACATTCGAAACACGCCCGCATGTAACGCAATCGGCAACCACCACCTGCATGTGCAAGCAGGACTTCTGCGTGCTCGAAAACTGCCTTCGAGACAGAGCAGCATGGCTGCGAAAGAAGGCATAGACCAGAAACAACAAATCATCTCACCCTTCAACAGAAGACACAGAAAGCAAACCAGAAACGCACAAAACAAGTCATCATCACCCTTCAAAATAAGGCACGGACATCAAACCAGAAACGCGTAACAGTTCGCCATCAAACCCTTCAATAACAAGAACAGAAAACGAAACCCACGAACAAGGATTCGATCGCCGTCCATCACCTTCTCTGCGTCGGTCTTCGCGTTGGCCTTGACCTTAGCCTTCTGGAGGGCCCTCACGGCACCTTCATCCTGTTGTCGTTCGACTTGAGCGGCACCGACCCCTTTCCGCTCTTGGTGGTTCTCAGCATCTGCTTCAGCTCCTGCGTAGCGAAAAAGATTAGCACGAGAAAGGGAGGGAGGGATGGGCGAAGACGATCAACGAACGCAAGACTGCAACAGAGAGTGAAACACCTTGGTTTCAATTACGGCAACAGGACACAGGCCAGCTGGGAAGCAGACCTTGCGTTCGGCGAAACAAGGACGACGTCACCCGTACATAAAAGTGATGAGCCAACATGTGCTTACTCTCCCACACAAAACGAACAACCATTAACACAGGTCTTCCCAAAAATGGAAAAAACACACAGCTCCATAGAAGAAAAAAAACAAAACAACGGGCGCGTAAAAAAAGCACACACAAAAAAGAAGACATCCACACAGAGAGAGAGAGAGAGAGCGAAACCTGCTTGGTACGCTTGTCGGCTCTGCTGAGCTTCTCCGTGAAATCCGCCCGGATCCTCCATGGCCTCGTCGTACTTGGCCATGTCGTCCATGCCCTTGAACGACGAGCTCGCAGCCAGCATCATCACGTAATTTGTCGGTCGCAGGCCTCCTTGAAACCCATGAACGATCGGAACGCCTCCATCCCTGCGATCCTGTGCTTGGCCTCGTCGGCCATGACCTTGTACGAGGTCGGTGGCGCTCCAATCGCTGAGGGGTTTCGAGGAGTCCTTCGGCCGTGGCAGCAACATGAACGGGCAACCAACACAAAGCGTCGGGACAGATGCAACCGTTAATCCACTGGTGTCTCGAAGCCCTCTTAAACGTCCTTTGGCCGCACGAGGAAAAGTGTTAGGGTTAGGAGGTCCGCTTCGTCGTTAAGTATCCTGCACCCTCGCCCTCCTGTGGCTAAAAAGTAGGGGAGGGACGGAGGGGGTGGAGGGGGAAGAGGGCAGGGAGAACCAGCCTGGTTATCACAGCAGTATTACGACAGAGCGATGATTGAATGTATCACGTAGGGCGATATGAGCGATTGAGCGATGCTGGAGAGTCGTGCGTGAGGTGGTAACTACTGCAGGCGCAAAAACACGCCTGACTCTATTGTATCATAGCGGCGGCGCAAAGCAACCAGTACTCAAGAATGGGAACAAGAAAAGCAGACCACACGGCTTGCCAAACGTGCTTTACTACTCCCTCGGGCATGGTTCTCGGGCACCAAAACGACAGAAACATCGGTTGGTCCTACATGCACAACGAACGAAACTTGACCATGGAAGACGAAAAGGGCCTTATCTCATCCACACGAATAAATGCGAAAAACCCAAGAGGTACAGCAGTGACTACACACAGAAGGCCAAGCACCAGCACGCGAAGAACAATCACCTGCGGGGAGGGCTCGTCTACCAGAACGTCGATGACATCGCAAACAGCCCACAGTGTTGACGCGAGAAGAGTTGCCGGGGCTGTCTGAGTACGCCTTCTCGAACCCCAACGTGGATTCGAACGCCTCCACCTTACCCTGCTGAGCTTTTTCTCGAGCGCGTTCAGCGCGGCCGACGCCACTCTACCCGCCTCTTCGTGGTCCGTGACAATCAAGAGGGGGGGAGAGTGGCGTCGACCGCACTAAACCAGGTTGAAAACAACGCCAAGCAGGCTGATGTGGAGGCGTTCGAATCCCTGTTGGGATTCGAGCAAGCCTACGCGAACAACCACTGCAACTCTTCTCGCGTCAACACTTTCTGGGCCGTGTGTGATGTCATCAACGAGCTGGTAGACGAATCCCATCAGGGATTCATGTTCGTGAAGGGCTACGCCGAGAGCCACTGCAATTATTCTCGCGTCAACACTCTCTAGGCTGTGTAACGAAGAGGCGGCTAGAGTGGCGTCCGCCGCGGTGGACGAGATTGCCGAGGAGGCCGAGCGCAAGGTCGCGGAGCTGGAAGCGTTCGAACCGTTGTTGGGTTTCAAGGACGCGTCAGGCGGTGGCCGCAACACGAACAAGGAACTTCATCACCCCTGCATGTCAAGTCAGCAACAATAACGTAGGGGCGTACAGGGGACCAATCCCACGGGACCGGAAGTGCCACCGCCGTACACATAACAAACCCCAACAAAAGCTCCTGCAACTGGTGTTGTGTTGTATTGATGTAGCCTACTTTTGTTGAGATTCAAGTCACCGGCCGGTCTCGTCATACCGCGGGAGGGGCAGAGTCACTGCCGTTCCAATACGTTTGGATCAGTCATCTCCACGTGCAGCTGACCGTCAAAGCGCTTGTCATCCTAATGTTGTCTCCTCGCCCAGAGCTTGTCAGCGCCCGACTGGTGCAAGGTTGCGGCCGTTGGTCAGTAATAGAAGCGCGCGGGGAGCGGCGGGGTGGGCACAGAAGAGAGTTGCCGTCAAATAGCAAATGCACGAAGCAAGCGATCAGGGTATCGAATGCCGCGGGGAGCAAAACGTCCGCAAAGGAAGTACAGTAGACCGTCCGCCCGCGTGCACAGAAGAGTTGGGCGGAGGGAGCCAGCAGACCAAACATACCAGAATATGCGCTTTGTAGCGTAGAACCACGTCTGTCTCCCAATCGTCCCACCGTAGGGGTGGGGGAGCATCTCAAAGAGTTGGTGCATTTCGATCACTGACCACGCACTCCTCTCTCTCTCCCCTTGAAACAGAGACAGCCGCCGCCGGGTGCTCTTCAACTACCGTATTGTCTACCATCCTTTTCTCAGTGAATATTTGCCAGGGGAGTGGACAGGGGCGAGAGAGGCTCAATCCGCAAGCCGTCTGACTTCGCAGGTGACATGTCCGACAAATAAGATCGATAGCGATTTGATGTACTGCCCAGCAACTCCACCGCTCGCTCCCACCCGACAAACGAGGCCGAACAAAATGAACGACAAACCACGCAGCAAGAAATAGCACGTCATCACAATATCACCAATCAAGTGCAGCAGACATACATATGGTGCAAACGACACCCTTTTTCTCTCCCCGGTCGAGGTGAAGTGACAATCCGCATGGCTGGTGCTGCCCGCGAGTAGAAAGTCGAAAGTTGAAGTACGACCATACAATATGTAGTCTATGTAGAATGCTGTATACTGTGGTCTAGGTAAATAGACTAGTCTACACTGCCGAGGGTTCCTCTGTGGTGTAACCACGGTTTTGGTTCACATGTCTTCAGAACGAAAAGCTCTGCCGCATACCAGCACTAGGCACAACAATGCAATACAGCTGTACAAGAGACTCAAGGCTCTAGGTGGGCTGGTGCAGGAAGCCCAACAGGGCGGGTGATGGTGAAAATGCTCCGTCAACAGGACACAAAAAGACAGCAAGACAGCGGAAACAGGCCTGAGTTCCACCCCGTTCCTCACCTGCTGTACACGTAACATGCTTGATGGTCCACTCCACAGGCTTGCCTCCTTTTCATGGGGTGTGAAGTCGCCGGGCAGGGTTTGCAGCAAGCCTTGTCCGTACAGAAGTAGGCACGAGCAGGAGCACGACACAGCAGACGGCAGAAGGCCGACCCAAGTGGACAAGTAAGTGGACAACTTGGTGCGGAAGGCTGTGGAGCACGCGGGACGGAAAGCACGACCGGCAGAGAGGCACATCACATCACCCAGCCCGTCCTCACCCATCACACCACCGGAGTTCGGAGTTCGGAGATCAGAAGCTCAACAACAACGACCAATGTACATAGAGCAGCTGGCACGCTGGCACCGAGCACACTCAAGCACATTAGCACATGCAGCATGCAGCTGCAGTCAATACTGTCATTCGCTGACGGTTCCGGTCGCGAACCGGCACGGGAACCAGTGTACGCTGCATACCTCACCGAACAGACCAGGACCAGGAGATGGGAGAGGGGGTGAGCGGGAGAGCTACACGTGGATTTGTGGGTCAGGCTCACGGCCCGGAGTCATGGCTGATTCCGCCCAAACCAGCTGCTACACTTTCGATATGTCGCTATGCAGACCGTGTGGTGAATTGCGCCTCTTTGTTCTCGTGACTGCGCCTTCAGAGGGCGGTCAAGCACAACCTACATTCCTCTCAAAAAATCGCTGAAAAAATTCAAATTGATTTCCAGGATCCTCGAATAGACTCGCCGCAGGTCGTCAGTGTTGCTCGAGTTGCTGATCTGTTCGGATAGGACGCCTGCACGGCAAGCACCTGAGCTGCTGTGGCCATCATCTGAAAGTTCCACGAGTATGGTAGACCCTTGCACTCCAACCGATCCATCCGGTTTGGCCCCGTGCTGTGTGTTCATCTCGCTTGCTTGACCCCGTCGCCTCCCGCTCTCTCGTGATCTGTAATGTCTCTGTAATCTTTTTGATGAGACAGGATGAACATGACAGGAACGGACACGCTGAGACAAGCGGACGTGTAGGTGTACTTGATCGGAGATGCACAGCAATACAGCAACCGGAGTCACCCCGAAAGCTGGGGAATATCGTGCACAAGGCGACAATACCACATGGATGGGTAGGTAGCACCAGAACCGTTGTGCCTTGCACCGCGGCGTGGGCATTCATCCGCTCTGTCTGGACGGACGGACGATATCACCCCATGAACACCGTTTTGCTTTTGCCGCCCAGACCCAGAAATTCAAAATCTGTGCGTCTGCTTCGAATCGAGTTCGTGCCATGTTGGCCAATATCGGTTGGTGTTGATGATGCAAACTCTTCCTTCCCGACTGAACCCGCACACTATAGACTACATAGGTGGACTGCTGTACTGTGCAGACCAAGCGGCAGCACGGCAGCATGCAGCAGCAGTTGCACACAATGTGTCATGAATGACGGATCGCAGCAGCAGCAGCAGCAGCAGCAGCAGCAGCAGCAGTTGACTCTCATTCTCACCTTTACTCCGAACCTCTCCTCACCGAAACGAGGATGTCTGTTCGATGCGTTGCACCACGTACCAGCATCTATCTCCTCCAATGCCGGCAAGAGCTCAGCCGCCACGCCCAGCACGTCCAGTCCATCCACACAGCGTCTCGACTACGGGGATGTGTACCGTAAACAATCGTACATGCTGTTTCCCTCACACACACATGACCGCCGATCGAGCGTCCCAAGAGAGCGATGCAGAGAGACGGGGGGGTAGGGGGGCTGGTATCCAACACGCATTGCACGAACCCCCTTCTCCCTCTCGTGGCGGTGGGTGCTCCCGGCCCACACACTCATTCCTCTCTCGCGCTCTCCTCTCAGCAGACGCTAGACTGGACTGCTGTACATCGCCGACTTCGAGCCTCCTCACCATCGGGATACTCTTCAAGTCATCATGCCTGCTACTACAGCCACTTTCACCTCCACCTTCAAGATCACCACAAGCGCTACCTTGGCCATGCGCCTGGCCTCTGTCAACAACGGCCGCACCATCCCCAACAAGCGGATGAGGAACGAGCTGGATGGGGATGACCTCGCCTTCGACCTCGAGGCCAACCGGCCGTGTAAGAGGCACCGGATCCAGTACTATACCGAGGTGAGATCCCACTGCCGCTGTAGGTGATCATTTATCTTTCCCCCTCGCTGAGAGACTTGGGTTGGCTGCTGGCCCAAGTGGTTGCTTTTGGGGACGGATGGCTGGCACTCTTGGAGAGATCCATTAAAAGCAAGGATTCGTCAGGGGTTGAAGGGTTGGCTACGGGGAGCGACCAGCAGCTGTTGAGGTCACACGCAGCGCGGAGGAAACCACTGACCATAGGCTCCTGTCGTACCACACGGCTACCGAGCAAACCTCACACTCGCGCTGGCCCACTGCTGTCCCTCGCCGCTTGTGATTGCCGCGTGTCCATCATTGGTGCCCACATGAAAACACCATTTCCCCCGGGACCATCCAATTGCTGTCGTTCATATCCGGGCTCTCCCCTTTTCCCGCAATCCTCCAAGCAGTCCACACGCGCACGACTGAATGCGAAACACACCAACCTCCTGGCACAAATGAATCAGTTGGAGCAATCGAGATTTCATTTTTCTGTCCATGAAATTGAGCCACAACCTCGCACAGCCTCTCAACCAACGCACATGCCACGCACATACCACCGTGTAACCGATCTGCCCTGCACACAACCTCCATCTTCAACCTCAAACTGACCCCATACAATGTACTCCTCCCGGATGTGTGTCACTGTTCACGCTCGATCTGCAGGCGGAAGAGGACCTGTTGGTGTCGATTCTCGTTCAGGGATACGAGAACGCGGTGAAGGACAGCCCGTGCCCTCAGGCGGAGCAGCAGCACCAACACACCACACCCAAAGACGAGGCCCTCTACGCGGCCATGAAGGAGCATGAAGCCTCTACCGCCGCCCTCGCCGCCAGGGCCAAAGTATACGCGCAGCAAGTCGCCGCCGCATCGGAGGATCTTCAGAAGGCGATCGCCGAGGCCCGCGAGCAGGAGGCCATCGCGGACAAGGCGCGTGCCAACAGACATTACCGCGCCATGCAGTACGTCGGTGCGTCCGCCATCTATGAGGGGTCCCAGCTTTATGACGAGCCTTGCCGGGAGCAGTGCAAGAAGCGGGCCAGGCAGGAGCGGAAGCCGATGCCCTTCAGCGACTTACAGCAGGCCTCGGAGGATGATATCTATGAGTTGATTTGGCTCCAGAGGCAATCGCACCTGCAGGAGGCCAGGAAAAACTTCGAAGCAGAACAGAAGACCCTCCTCACGAAGAAGGCGGAGCGGGACCAGCTCGCCCGCGAGCACGACAAGGCGGAGACAGCGGCATCAGCAGCGCTAGAGTCCCTCAGAAAAAGAATGAAGCAGGCCGAGGTGGACGCGTTTGACTCCCTGCTGGAATTTAAGCAAGCCTACGCCGACACTCCCTGCGACTCTTCGCGGTTCAACACCCTCTGGGCCGTCTGCGATGTGATCGACGAGCTGGTGGACGGGCCCTCCCCGCAGGTGATTGTTCTTCGCGTGCTGGTGCTTGGCCTTCTGTGTGTAGTCGCTACTGTACCTCTTGTCTTCATACGCATTAACAACTATTCGTGTACATAGATAGATAGGCCTTTCTTGTCTTCATGGTCAAGTTTCGTTTGTTGTACCCCTGTAGAACCAACGTGAGTCTTGTTTTAGTTTGCGAGAACCATGCCATAGAAAATGGTACAGCGCGTTTGGCAAGCCGTGCGGTCTGCTACTCTTCGTCCCACACTTTGGTGCTGGTCGCTTTGGGTCGCCGCTGCAACAGAGTCTGTCGTGTTCTTCTTGTGCATGCCGTACCCGCTCATGCACTTTCTCTCCAGCATCGCACCTTCGCTCATATCACCTAACGTGAGGCTGAACTCGTTCGCTCTGTCATACATGTTACTATTCAATGTTATTTACCAGGCTGTTTCTCCTTGCCCGCCCCCCCCCCCCAACTACATTTTTGCTACAGCAGAGAAAGAGTGCGGGTCGCAGGAGGACCAAGCGGACGAGGTCCTCCCGCTAAGGACGACACAAGTACACAACAGTGCTTGGACACCGTAACTACATGCGAATTTTCTCTGAACGCGTGTGCTTGTGGCTAGTCGGTGTTGTTCCTGTTGCTGCTTTCATACAGGATGTGTTTGTGGGGTCATGCTTGTGTGACATGCGTAGTGTTGATGGCGATGGCTACAGCAGTTTGCCTGTGCCTAGCAACAACTGCTGCGGATTTTGCTTCGTTTGAGCCTCCCATCGTAACGCCTAGGCGTGGATTCGTGTGAGATGTCCGAGGAAAAACCGCCTGCGGTATGGGGTAGTTATTTTTGGTGGTGTCGATCTAGAGGAGCAGGGAGATTTTGGAAGTGCATGCGGACTGACCGTTGGTTGTGTAGAACAATTTGCTCAGGTTGCTCCTTGGTTGAATCTCCATGTTGTGGTCTCTTCTCGCGTCAAGAGTCACGGTGTGCTCGGAACCCGTACGTTCATTCGTGCGGAACTACGAAGCACCCGTCTTGGCGCTAGCAAGCTCTGTACAATGTGGTTGAATACACACCATAGGAGACTCTGCCACCCAGTGGGCGAGGAGCAATTGTTTTTCTGTGGGGGTGGGGGCAGAATACACGGGAATCAACTTGGTTTGATCTCCACAAAGAACGGTATTTAGTCTCTCTTTCTCGCGTCAAGCTCACAGCAGTGTGCTCGGAAACCGTGCGTCAGTGCGGACATACGATGCACCTGTCTTGGCGCTTGGAAGAGCTCTGTACCATGTGGTTGAAACCATGCCGTCGGTCGTGTAAAATAGCGAGGAGCACTTTGGGAGGGGGCGGTCGTGATAAAGAACAAAAGACCACGTAGTTAGTTAATGGCACGGTAGAAGTGAGTGTCGCGTTGTCTACGAAGGCATTATTAATTGTTAACGAGTGCGGGAGATACGTACATGGATGCTGTTGCGCGGTCACTGTAGGTAGGGATGAGAATCTGTGCCGTCCCACCATCGTTCTTGTGTTGAGTAATTGACGTAGGACACGTCGGTCGGTCGCGTGACGCCACACATACATACGTTTACGTTCTTTGTTGTTCAAAAACGATACTTCATTGTACTTGTAGGTTGGCATCGTGTTTGATTGTTGGTGCTGTGTGTAGCCAAGCCGAGGGATGCTACAGTAACTTTCGTTGTGTGTGGTGAAGTAGTTATTTGAAAGAAAAGTTTACTCGTCCAACAGACAGAACAGAATGGCGTTTGTTGGTGGAACATTTTTCGAATTGTAGCCTCATCATTATAGTTGTTCGGAAACCTGGGGTCACGAGGGGAAGAAATTCGAACCCCCGTCCCTGTCATTCCTTTGAGAAGAGAGCACGAAGTGGTGTAGCATACCGAGTAACGAGCGGAAGCTGCAGAGCGCGCGAAGAGAAGGAAGGACAGCAGTGGCCGCGCAACGTAGGAAGCGGCAGTATAGCAAAAACCCCGCCCTCCCATTCCTTTTCTTTCGGAGGTGGGGGAATAAGCTCGGGAGTAATCGGTTTCTAGTTGGGGTGTTGTAGAATGGTGTGTACCATTGGGGCTTGGTCAGGTTCGGGACTCGTGCGTTTGCAGTCGCAGTCACCCGGCTGGTATTATTTGCGGGGAGTGAGGCAGGTTTGAAAGAGTCAACGCCGCGCCTCGTAGTTACTGTGGCTGGTGAGACGAGGGGCGTTCCGTGTGTCTCACTCCCCAACGTGTCTCCTAGAAACCGAAGAAATAATGAAGCAATTCGAAAGAAAACAACAATAAACACACACATTTCGTCGACCTGAGAAAACCACCTGGACAATGGATGGGATTTTGTGCGCCCTTCTCTGGTTGGTCCGAAAGCCTACTGTAGATTTTTCGAAGGCCGTGGCGTGCGCCGACCGTGTCGCATGCAGTGCTTCGCTTCGAAACCAACGCAAGAAGCATGCTGACGAAAATCTCAAAGGCGGCAAGCGTGATGCTAGTTGGTGAGTCGAAAAAAGGGCAGCTACAGCAGCACATCCCACCATCCGCTACGTTCGATGAGCGTGCTTTCATAATGCAGCAGCGCGGAACGAGAGCGTTAAAACCGCAACCTTGCAGGCATTGAAGGACGGACGGACGGACGTAAGTTTGTTTAGGCGTTCGATTCTCGACGTTCTGGCGCAAGCCCGCCGGCCAGCACCCACAAACAAGCAGCACATTTCGCAGAGTGCAGCGACGGGTGTAGGTCTACAAAGTCGACAACTCATGCAGAGAAACTTGGGAGTTCTTCCTTATGTTCCTTATGTATATGATGTACGCCATCACCCCACCACCAACAACAACAACACGCACATGTAAGAGAACCCCAACCGCTGCAAACCATCCTCGGTGAATAACGTGTCAGGTTTTCGAACCGCCATGCTTCCAAGTCCTCACGGCATACCTTTGCTTCTTCGCCGAAAGCAGCATCACCCCCTTCCAAGCCATGGTAACCTCTCCAACCCCCTTCTCTCTCTCTTTCTCTCCCTCTCAGGCTGCTGAAATATTGTCCAAGCATGGCAGGCACGCGCGATTCTCCCACCGCTGTGACCTTAGTGGCGGCAGCTGGCGTTGGCGCCACACCCTGCCCATTTGGCACCCAAACCCATGAAGTCAAACTCCATCGGCAAGCGTAAATGACCCGCCGTCGCCTCCTGCCGAAACACGACCACAGCTTGCCAACGGCTCTACTACCGCCTTCCGCCGCAAAACCAAACAGAGGACGCGTCTGATTTTGGGCGGACCAGTGCACTCAACCCAGTCGGCCATCACGTTTTGTGTTCACGAAGGCATGGGTATAATCGATTGCCCGAAGAGCGAACAAGAGGTACAGGGAGGGAATCATCATCAACGCATGCCAGCGGACAGCCAGACACCCAAGCCCAGCCAAGAGAGAGAGAGAGAGAGAGATAACCAAGCCCTTTCGCGGTATGCGGTTCATCTCCTAGCGATACAACTCCATGGCGCAATGCGGATCCTGTCTTCCAACGCCCCCGCGCGCTTCCTGGTGCACCGCCGAAAAAAAACTCCCCTCCCCCTCCTCCCTATTACTACGCACACACACCCCTTCGTCTCCCCCCCCCTTGTCCCTTTCCTCTTTCAGCCATCTCCTTAACCCGTTGCTACTCTCCTTCTATTGTGCCAACTCGTGCATCGTTCATCCACCATTCTCTCCCCCAAAGACCCGCGCAGCGAACAAACACGCCTCTTAAGGCGTGGAACACCAGGGCCGGCTTGGCTAATTGAGTACCTCGACAATAACAATAACTAGCAATAACAGTAACACCAACAACCACGCACGCTGTCCTTCAAAGGACAGACACCTCGCAGAGGGCAGCGATCCCCCCCCCCCCGCCCCGCCCCAGTTCGCTTGAGAATCTGCGGCGATCTCGCCGACTCGGGGACATAGCTAAGCGTCACATCACCCCCCCCCGTCATTTTGCGAGGGGGTGGGCCGGGTTGGTGACATGTTGCGACAACGACAACGAGGGGATGATACCTTCACCCCCTCATCCCACTCGCCACCGCCCGCCCGTCCGTCCCCAAAACAATCTCAAAACCAAGACTTTACTATATGGTACGTCTTCGTTTCACCACCTGACCTGACCTGACCTGACCTGACCACGGATGGATGAAACAATCGAAAGGAGGAATACGTGGGACTCTGCAGCAGCCAAGCAGACTACATACAATAGTCTGGTCCTCGTTTGGGCTTCGGGAGGGCGGAATCACAAAAAAAAGCATTCGCGGGCCAGGGTTCGGAGAACGAGCGCTACTAAGGTCATATCACCTCTCGATTGTGCTAAGCGCGCCCGCCCGTGTCCAATCACGTCACGCGTCAAAGTCACTGTCGCCATCCTCTTCCTCCTCCTCCTCCTCCTCCTCATCATCTTCTATCGTCGGTCTACGCGGCTTCTTCGACACGCTTCCACCGCCCCCCCCACTGCCTCGCCTCTTCTTGCCCGACGAGGACGCTTCGTCATCATCATCATCATCATCGTCGCTGCTTTCCTCCCCCTCCTCTTCCCCGGACGACGACTCGCTGCCGCTCTCCTCTTCTCCACTGCTACCGCTCTCCTCTTCCCCGCTGCTGCCGCTACCGCTCTCTTCCTCCCCGCTGCTGCTCTCCTCCTCGCCGCTGCCGCTGCTGCTACCGCTCTCTTCTTCCCCGCTGCTGCTGCTGCTGTTGTTGTTGTCGTCATCGTCGTCTTCGACCTTCTTCGCCTTACCCTTACCCTTCACCTCCGGATTTTTCGGCGATGCTGCAGACGCAGACGCAGCAGCAGCGGCCGGTTTCTTCGCAGCGGTAGCGGCAGCAGCAGCAGCAGTCTTGGGGGGTGTCTTAGCCGTGGCGGTAGCAGCAGCGGCATCGGCCTTCTTCTTGCCGCCGCCCGGGGGGCGAGGAACGTCCAACACGCTCTGTTTGGAGTTGTAGAGAGTCTCGTACGAGAAGTTCCAGTCAGGGGGCACGTTCATCGCCCACACGAACTTGTTCTGCAGAGTCTTCGCGAACACCTGTTACATGCATTCGAATCGGATGGAAATGGGGGGTTATCCGACTTGCCGAACGAGGGGGGGGGGGTGGTGGCAACGGAACGCCCTACAGCCAACGCGGGGAAACTTTTCCGCGTCTGCCGCAACTCTGAAAATCAATGCAAGGTGATGGAGGCATGTTTGAAACAAGGAAAAAGCGGTGCGCGTCAGGCACCAAACGATACGTCGTGTTAGGCGTCGAACCAGTCTCTCGTTCTCGTGTGCCTAAAACAGTGCAGCCGTGACAGGTATCTACACTATCCACACTCCCTCTTGCCGTAGCCTCCCGCAGTTGCAGGATAAGGTACATGCCATGACCACAACATTGCGTGGCCGTTCTTGCCGAGATGACTTCAGTTCGATAAGGAGCGCAATAAGAACAAAAATACAGCCACAACGGCCAAACAGAGGTCGGGAGAGTTTCCTCATTGATCACCTCCAACCGAACAGCTTCCAACCCGACGTCTACAGCAGTACACCCTGGGCAAGCACGGCACGCCGGCATGGGCAAGGCTTGCTTACGCGAGGCGAAAACCAACCCCACTTGCCTTTTCCACAGGGACCTCGTGACGCTTGCACCATGCCACGCTCACGCGAGGGTCCATGTAGTTGATCTTGGACGTGCTCAGCGATACCTCCTTGTTGTCGTCACGATCCCGGATGACGATCTGTACCCCCCCCAAACAAAAATCGACCAAAACAAAACAGGCATGAAAAAATGGAGGGAAAAAAAAACACGCAACACTACCAGTACCAAGGCAGAGCAGCACTATAACAGTACTTACCAAGTAGAAGTTTTCGCGAGTGGTTGGGAAACTGCGAGAGACACAAAGCACAGGGAGAGGGAGTGTCTTGACTCAAGCTACGACAACTATCGCCTGTGCCAAACACACCCAAGGTCGACAAGTGAAGCAGTGACACAACAAACACGAGACCATACTCGACACACGTGTTGAAAAAAACGTGGAATTCCACTTCGAAACATTTCTTTCATTATTCGTGAACATGCTTCATGTCGACTCTCTTACCTCTCTCACGAACGAGCGGAACGCTTTTAGTCAAGCTTCCAGCTCTAGTTTCGCCGTGGACTCGCCAAAAACACCGAATGCTGGATGAAACCATGAGGGGATGACATGCACCACAGTGGAAAGAGCAACAGCAGCAGCGGCGGCCTTACCTGAAGCTTCTTGATCTTGTCGCCCCAACGTTTGATGCGCTCCTCCACACTCTCCGCGCTGGGGTTCTTGGCAAACAGGTGCATCGCCTCCTGCCTAGCCTGTTGCGCCGCTTTCCGTAAGGCCTTCGCAGTCTCGCCAGCCTTTGTCGCCGCCACCTAGTTAGGCATCCGGTTGGGCGGTTGGGTGCACTGCTGTGTTGACGGACGGGCCTTGAAGTGAAACGTTTCTGTTTTGCCCCTTGCCCCGGGCAGCAAGTAAACTACTTGGTACCGTCCGTGTCAGCAAACAACCCGCCAACGTGTTGAACGAAACGAGGGGGGGGGGAATCCAACAGAAGCGGGCTCGCGGCGGGCGAGGGAGGGGAGGGGTAGTGCGATATTGCGGGACCCCCGGTTCAATAGCAGTACTGCAGAGAAGAGCATCTCCACCGCGGTGACTCACACAGTAGTCTACAGCAGAAATATTCAAAAACACGCCCGCATGTAACGCAATCGGCAACCACCACCTGCATGTGCAAGCAGGACTTCTGCGTGCTCGAAAACTGCCTTCGAGACAGAGCAGCATGGCTGCGAAAGAAGGCATGGACCAGAAACAACAAATCATCATCACCCTTCCACAGAAGACACATAAAAGTAAAAATAAACATGAACACGATATATAGGGTTCGCCATCACCATCTCAATAACAAGAACAGAAAACATGACCAACCAACAAGGATTCGATCGCCGTCCATCACCTTCTCTGCGTTGGTCTTCGCGTTGGCTTTGGCCTTCTTGGCCTTCTCGAGGGCCCTCACGGCACTTTCTTCCTGGGATTTGTCGTTCGACTTGAGCGGCACCGACCCCTTTCCGCTCTTGATGGTTCTCAGCATCTGCTTCAGCTCCTGCGAAGACAAAGATTAGTACGAGAATGGGAGGGAGGGAGGGAGGTACGAAGACGATCAACGAACGCAAGACGGCAACAAACATTAAAATACATTGGTTTCAATGACGGCAGCAGGACACAGGCCAGCTGGGAAGCAGACCTTACGTTCGGCGAAACAAGGACGACGCAACCCGTACATAAAAGTGATGAGCCAACACGTGCTTACTCTCCCACACAAAACGAACAACCATTAACACAGGTCTTCCCAAACATGGACCAACATACAACCTCTGTAGAAAAAAACACAACCATCCGCGCGCAGACCTACAGCAGCTTCCTCAAAGAAAAAACCGTTGAGTAATGGGGAACAACCCCCCCCCCCCCTCCCCACCCCGTTGAAAAAATTCGTACGAACGCACCTGCTTCTGCTTGGTGAGCATCGCGAGGCGGTCGCGCTGCTTCTCGAGACCTTCCTTCTGCGCCGAGCTCACGGTCCTCTGGTGGTTGCACAGGATAGCCACCTCCCTGTTGGCTAGGTTGTATAGAGCGACCTGCATTGGGGCCGCGTTGTGGTTTGTGGTGTTTGTTACGGTGGCAGTAGTTCGACGGAAGCGTGAAACGTCCAAACATGAAAAAACGCCATTCTCTTAACGCGTTCCGTGTTGGTGCAACACAGGCCTCAACACCTCGCGGAAGCTACTTGAAAGGTAAGCTACGATTCATGTAGACAGCGTGAGGTTTGTGTTTGTTCTTGCCCCCGAAGGAGCAATCGATCGTAAAGCAGCATGCATACGTCACGTAAAGTCAATGCTACACAGCCATGCTCAAGCGGAGAGAGTGAAAAACACAAATGCAAAATACACACGCACAAGCACAACAAAAAAACATGGCGCTTTCGACAGTGTGTTGGCAGCATTGACGAATGTACTGTTGCATCTCCTGACAACAACGACACTAGAAACAAACACAGGACAGGTAAGCGCGGTCGGTACTGTTTATTCAGGACCTATACACACAAGGTTTGCACCGCGTGATAATCATCTTCCGTTTTCCTTTTTCACGAATGCTGCTGCAACAGACAGGAGCTTTACCCCACTTTAATAGACTCGCCCCGGCTCCTCTATCCCTCTCAGTACCGAATCTCTCTCGTCTCTTTACCATACCAAAGGATTGGCACATTTACGTGGCCAACGGGTAAGCACGGTTGACACCAAAAACAGAAACACACACCGCAGAAAACCAACATTGTGAAATCTATTCCCAAGCTGGTGCGTCCACATATACCACCCACAATAAAAACTGGGGTCCTAACCCTAATCCTACACAAGCACAATCGTACACACACCTTCTCCGCTACAGACAGCCCGGCGAGGGCGGCTTCTCCAGGAAGCTTCTGCTGTAGGGTGTCGGAGGCGTTGTAGGTACGGAACACCTTCGCCGTAAGGCCCGGCATGAGCGACTGAAGGTGCAGGTTGAGGATGCTGATGCAAGGTGGAGGTAAGGGGAACGGGCGGTGGTGGACGTCATGGACACGAAGGAGTGAAACACGAAAAATGTCTTGGGGCTTGCGAACCACACCCATCTACACACACCATAAAAAAACTTCGTTTCTTTGTATATTCGCCCAGACGCAAAATTTAAAATTTAGAGGGTTGGGATGAGGTCCTCGACGGGGCCCTCCACGTTTCCTGGAGTGGTGCTTTCTCGCCCCGCTCTATCCCCCATCTTGGATGCCGCAGACCATACCTTCCCGTATACGCTTTGACCGTACAAGGCGGCGTCACCCAGAAAAAACCTTCCTCTGCGGGGATGCTTGCCCGCCTGCCTACCTTTTCGGTCTCGGCAAAGGTTCAGCAATCCTTACCCTTCCCCATTTCACATAACAAAGACAACGGTGGTGGTGGCAGCGAGTGATCGGTATTGATCGCTAGCTGGACGTGTCACTTGCGTGGGCGATATTACATTCCGCCCACGATTAACCGGTTCAATGGGGGTGTTCGAGTGGAACATAACATGCAACTAACCGCTACTGCTGTATGTATCAACAGCAAGTTTCACCTCGGGTCCAGGTAGTCGAAGACTTCTTCGGACTGGCGCTTGCCCTTGCAGAACGCCTGCAGGTTCTTGAACACCCGCCGGCCGACATCGCCGTACCTGGGGTTCGACCGAAAATGATTATTGCAACACGAGTCCGATAAAAGAAAAAAAAAAAAGTGAGCAAGAGAGGACGCAAAGAGAGGTTAGACGGGTACAGCAGACATAGCACCTGCGGAAGAAACGAGCCACTTTTTTCGCTCCTCCTCCCCCTCCTAGAAAAATTGGTCCGCTCAACGAAGTAGAGTGCCTCGAAATCACGAGGGAACAACAAACATGCAGCCTGACTTACTCCAACCCCAAGCCTCCCTCCCCCTCCCCCACAAGGCCCAACCCACCTGTCGAAGTCGATAGTCTCCTTGAAGAGCATGGAGTCCTTACCCAGGAACTCGAGGTCGATCTCGTTGTTCGTGGCGTGGAAGGTAAGGTGCTCCGTCCGGAGGGAGCAGCAGCCAACGGTGTCCGCCTCGTCCTGGCCCTTCTCGCCGCCCACACGGAGGGCCAGCTTGTCGATGATCCACACCGCGGTCGCGATCTGAGGGAGGGAGGGAGGGAGGGAGCGGAACGATCAAGAGGTCGTTCGGTTAAAGCAGTCGAAACGTCTCAAGCATGGCATGACTTTCCCGTGTGTGTCTCGTTGCCAAGGTTCGACAGCGCTGACGAGTGCATCGGTCGAGATAATTCAGCCTTTTTCGTTCTTGTTTGGTTCTTGTGTGTGTGTGTCAACTCTGACCCGTATATCGCCCCCACACCGACATTCAGCTCGTGCGCCATCTGTTATCATGACAGCGATACAACACTTCAGCACTGGGCTCATACTCTCAATTGCGTACGTCAGCTCGCTGGTTCGCACCAACAGCCGCAACAACGCCGGAGGGAGGAGATAGGCGTGCACGTGCATACATATCTCACACCCACAATAATTCCAGTCACATCGACCGTTGATCGTCTCTCCTGCGAAATCACGAAACGCTAGCACCAGCATCAACAACGGATACCGACAACAACCATCAGAAACAAACAGCACATCCAAAAAAAGCACACAATAACCAAGCAAACACCACCACACAGAGATAATTAGAGAGAGGGGGGGGAAGAGATATACTGGTAGAGACCTGCTTGGTGCGTCTGTCGGAGCTGCTGAGCTTCTTGACGTAGTCCGTCCGGATCCTCTCGATGAAGCCCTTGAGCTTCATGGCCTTGTCGTACTTGGCCATGTCGCTCTTGCCCTTGAACGACGAGCTGGCAGCCAGCATCATGTACTTCGTGCCCGCTAGCAGGCCGTCCCACTTGGACAGCCACGTTGCCTGACAAAAAAAAAAAAATGTCATCAAGCATGCAGCAATATGTAACAAGAGAAAAAAAAAGACGTCATCGAGCATGTAGATGATGCGACAAAATATACTGTTTTTTCGTATCGGGCTGCACGGTTAGAACCCTCTGGAAGAGGGAGGTGCCAAGCCGCCCGGATGTACCTTATATAGTCATGCTGGTCCGGCTTACTGGTTAGCGGCTATGTATACCTCACGTGTAAAACTCCCGTCTTCGGGAGGCTATATCTTTCTGTTCACCACGGAAATCAAGCATCGTTGTTCACTTCAGCTCCCAACAGTCCGAACTCGACGGGTACATGCGATACCTCTCCACGAGTCGTTTCGGTCGCGTTGCAATCTCCGCCAACACCAAAACCAGCATGCCCTCATTCACCAACAACTTCTCTCTCTAATATAAATAGTACTGTTGCAGGTTGCCTGGGTCGAGCTCCTTACGCATGCTTCCTCCGTTTCACCCCACCTCATCTCGTTCCTCTCTACGACGAAACACCAGAAGCAACAACTACGAAACAGCCCGCCCTCCCATGAGACAGGATAGGAAAAACACCCTTTTGGCAAAGGAAAGATTGGCCATCGGTGATCGGTTCTCCTCTCAAGGACGCGTTGGTGAACGACCTATGTAACAGCGAAGGCATGCCACACATGAGTACCCCCCTCCCCTAATGGTGATGCGAGGGCCTGGTCCGGGGACAACCCGCCGTGCTTCGTCCCGTCCCGGCTTTGAAGGGATGCGAGGTCAATGGTCTAATAACAACGGCATGCACGGCAATGAGTACACCCCCCATCCCCCCCCTAATGTCACCTCTCTACAAAATTTCTTACCGACGGGTTGTGCTGCACGGACTGCCAGGCGTACCCGGGCATGTTACACCGCGGGACGCAAACCCCCTCTGCGCAATTGATGGCGATGTCGGAGGCCGTCACCCGCGCCTTGAGCTTGCCCGTCTTGGGGTGCTCCCCTCGCCCCCGGAACAGGCCGGGAGGCTCGACGTTGTAGTTGCCCACCTTCTCCAGGTGGCCGTCAACGATGGCGTAGCTGTACTTGTGCTGCGACGACGGAACAGAGCGGGCAGCAGTGGACACAACGGATGACTTGAGGGAAAAATCTGTAGAATTCCTATGCCTTCCGTGAGGTGACGAATAGCTGTGTCCCACTGACAAAAAAAATAATGAGGCTTGGGCGGGATGTTCGTAGAAGTTTGGCCTTCCGGGAAACCATGGCTATGGGGGAAACTTGACCTTAGGGGTAAAGATCGTGGCTGGCCCCGCTGGAGCTGCCTAGACTATTGACAGCACGCACTAACATACCGCCTGAAACATGTCACAAAACAAGTTGGGTACGGGCGCGCGCACTGCATTACTATCAAGGAAAAGGCTGTCGCGTTTTTCATCGCGCACTGACCACGAGCTCCTCCTTGACAGTCTTGGCAGCGGCCTTCTCCCCGTCGGTGGCGGCTAGCTTGATCTGCTTGGTGATGTCCAGGTGGGCGCGGATGGCCGAGAAGTCGAGCAGCTTGAAGTCCTTGATGACGTGCCCCTTCCCTAGGACCGCCTTCCGTAGGTCCAAGAGACGAGAACATGAGACGAAAACAACGAAACAAAGAAGGGCATGGCAATCAAGACAGGGTCGTCCGCGTCTCTAAAGGGGGCATGCCCGAGCCTCAACCGCAAAGATATTGCTGAATGAACACGGACAGCTATATATTCTTAGTCCCCAGCCCCCCGGATGGCAAGAAAAGAAACACCGCTGCACCAGGCCTGGGCGAGACGAACGAGCTCCTATCCTGCCGACACGAACGTGAAGCGTGCCGACACTGTTCCATCGCTCTCATGGCATGCGCATGAAAACAGCACACCGAGGGAAAAAAAACAAGTATTTTCTTTGCGACGAACGGAACGAAGGAGACCCCCTCTGTGCACGGAGGTCCTTTGTCTCCGTCATGATCCACGTCGTCGCAAATGAAGTGTCCTTGGCTCACCTTAAAGTCTGTGAAAAAGTTTTTGTTGAACACCTTGCCCTGCTCCGCCAGCTGAGGGCCGTCAAGGGGCATCTGCATCACCGCATCATATCAAATCACGTTTAACCGCGGTAAGAGGTGGTGAAGCTCGGGGGAGGCGGTCGCCAGTTCATGCATGCACACACTGTGCATATGTGTTTCAATTAATAGCATCGAGGGCTAACCGGCTGATCAATGAGAAAAAAGTGTGTGTTGCGTTCGTCTGTCGGTTCTTGTGATTATCATCAAGCCAAAAGCGCGTACTGTCAGCTACACTGCTACCATCCGCGGCACCCCCTGCGCCATCTTCAAATTCAGCACAACGAAGTGAAAGGCGACAAACGCGCAAGGCCGAAACTCTGGCAACTTCCTGCCGCTAACTCAATCAAGAAGTCCACGTCTCCCTATCGTAGCTACTCACAGGGCACCGCTCTGCACGACGCTCCATCCGAGTTTTCATGCAGGGTACAAGGGTGTTCTTTGTGCTTGGAAGGCGTCTGTGGCAGCAGCCTTTCCCTTGTCTTCAACAGACAATCAAGTGAAATGGGAAACGGGGAAACCAGCACAACTGCCATCCCCCACCCCACGGGTCTACATGTTGTACTTACGCTGGCGTAGAAAGTCGCGACTTCTTCCTGCTGGGTCGTCAGGTGCACCTCCTTGCCGTCATATTTGAGCTTGACACCGTGCGGCTTGTACTCCGGGGCGAAGTGGGCGCCGTTGTGCTCGAGCGAGTCCCACTGCTTGCCGGGCTCGTGCGCGGGCTCCTCCCACCACATGTAGACCTTCATCGCCTTCTCGATCTTCTCCGCGCGAGTAGTCATCTCCTTGAACCCCTTCGGCGCCTTGTCCTTCGCCTGCGCCTTGGGTCGCGGCGGCGGCGCCCGCGACTGGCTGGCGGCGCCTCGGCGGCCGCTGGGCTCTGCCTTGACCTTGGCCTTGGCCTTGGCGGAAGAAGAAGAGCCTTGCGTGTTCCGCCGCTTCTTTTCGCGCGCCTCCTCCTTGATCCTCCTCTCCTCCTCCTCCTGCAGCTTGCGTTTCCTGGCGACCTTGGCCGGGTCCCTGGTGAAGTCCTCCGGCCGCTTTTTCTTGGGCGGCTTGTGCTCGAAGTCGTCGTCGTCGTCGTACTCGTGCTTTCTGTTGTCACGGCGCATGCTGCTGCTGCCGCTGCTGCCGCCGCCGGCCTTGCTGCTGCTGCTACTGCCAGCCTCCGAGGGCCGGGGAGAAGACGAGGACGAGACGACCTTCTTCTTGTTGCCGCTGCCGGTTGAGGAGGGGGCCCGCTGCGATAGGCCCTCTCGCTTCGGGATCGTGAAGGCTGGCTTCAAGGACCCGCCGCCGCTCTTCGTGCCGTTCTTGGAGCCACCAATCTTGTTGGGGACTATGTTGTTGGCGCTGCCCTTGCTGCCGGCGATCCCGCTAGAGCCGGCACCGGGTGCCTTAGGCTTCTTCATCATCAACGCGATCGGAGTGTCGTCATCCTCGTCCTCGTCGTCGTGATTGCCTCCGCTTGCCGGGTGCTTTGAAGATCCCGCCGGCGAGCCAAGCCCCGCTGTCGCCCCCCCTCCTCCCTTGCTAGGCGGCCCCGCGACAATCTTCCTCTTCTCCGTGTGCTGTCGGTCTCCGGAGTGCGAAGAAGAACTGCCGTTCATCCCGCTTGCCTTTTTGGCACCAGCCAGGCTACCGTTGCCCCCGCCGCCGCCGCGGCCGCCGCCGCCTGCACCGACCGGCGACGCCGCGGCAGGACGTGGCTTGTGGCTGGGCGGGGGGTCGTTGTCGTCGTCGTCATCGTCGTCGTCCTCGATGACTCGTCTCTTTTTTTGCTGCTGGCTGCCGCTGCTCGCGGACTCCGGCCGTTGCCCATTAGACTCGCCGCTGGGCACCGAGCGGTTGGCGGTGTTGGAAACAATCAAGTGTGGCAGCCGGGGGGGGGAGCGTTCGGATCGGAGATAGCGGTGAAGGGCGACCGTTTGGAAAAAAAGGTACAACTCGCGAGTTTGGTTGGTGCTACGGCGCGGGTGCCGAGGGCTGGTACCAGTCGTGCACCTTATCGCCAGGTTGCAGAAAAAACACACAACAGCGAAAACAAAACAACGAGTCGTCGTGCGGAGTACAAAGCAACTCCAACTACTACCGCTGACAACTCGGTACGTCGGAGACCATGTCAATAAATAGTAGCCGGGCGAACATCCTGGCCTCCAACAAAGAATGTCAATGCTGCTGCTGTCCACGCAGAACAACTTTTGAGCCGCAATTCACCATCAGGGATCACTAGGCAAGACGATGCTCGTGCTGTAAGATGTGCGGGCGAACGAAAGGGAAAAACCGACAAGCGTTTGTTGTCCGGGGGGGTGTTATCATCCATCGATTGCCCTTGAATCGTCATGAGCTCGCAAACGGGGGAAAATGCTTTGGCAGCAACCTCGAACTCCACACTGCTGTACTGTACTTATGGGCAGATTCGCCACAACGGTTCATGGGGACACAAGAGGGGACATGATCCCTGCTGCTGCTGCGTGGGGTAGGACAGAGGCGAAGGGCAACAGGAACGAATCATCCACACCATCATCACCGACAGAAAACCCCCCTACGGCAAAATCGAGAGGTATGTAAATGTAGCACCTGGCATCCGCCGTGTGTCCGCCGACACCGCCATTGCTGGCCACAGAAGACGTCCTATCCCCATCCGCCTTCACGGGGGGTGGTGATGATGCCACCGGGTTCTCCGGCACCACAGGCGCCGCGGAGGACATCGTGCCCGCTGACCAAACGCCAAGAGCACCCTCGACAGCAGTCGTTTGATGTCCGTTCTGCTGCCCCTTGCGCCGATTCACTGTTACTTTGCACTCGTACTTTCCGAGTGCCGACACACGTACAACAACAATACGACGCGTAGCCCCGGGCGCGCGTGCCAGTACCTCGCACGCGGTGCTCCCTTGTTGGTGTCTTGATACTCTACCTCCGGCCAAGTTACATTGGACCTCCCTCTCTCTACAATCTGGCGATGGTGGACTCACAAAAAACACCGCCTCCCACGTCGGGAGACGGGGATGGGGGACGGGGGACGGATTTTTTTCTTCTTATTATGACACAATTGTTTTTTTCATCAGAAACTCGTTTGTTTGTCCGTCTCATATGTTTGTTTTTTGGAAAATTTGTTCTCCCGTTGTGACCCGTGCTTGCAACGTTCTGCAGCGCTCTGCAGGTTGAAAAAAGGCAGGTTGGGCTGTACCGGAGACGGACAGAAGCAAACCCTCCAAACTTCCCTTTGCAAGTCGATCTTCTCTGGTGCAGGTGTACAGAGATAAGACAGTACTGCTGTAAGGTACATTTCCGAACACTCTTTGTCTCTTGCGGCGGCGGTGATGTCATCTTTATATGATGATTGTTCGCCCTTCAGAAATAATATGACTTGATGGCTAATCTCGATCTTTCTGCCCGAGTGTGACACTACCTGCACACTGCTGTCACGTTGCTTTTGCAACTAGGGCAGCACACAAAGCCGTCGACGACACTTTACACAACTACTGCTGCATCGCCTGTACCGCAAAAACGTCAATCAGGGAGGTATGTATGCCAGGACCCCGAACTGGCGGACAAGCAGGGGAGATTTCGCCGCTTTACGTAAACCTTCTCGCGGGACCCCCACCGTGCCCCAGAAACGAGCTGCAACAAGTGGCGCGAAGCTGCGCTGTACTGCTGTAAATATCCCTTTGCTTTCCCTCAGCCTACGTTACCGCCGTCCCTCTTCTATACCCTGCACCTCGTCGCATCGGCCGATCTCTCCCGCCTGCCCCTAACCTGTGGGTAGGATATGGACAAGTGGTAGCTCGCGGGGTCAATCAAAAGGGTGATTTGGAGGAACCGTCGGGATTCCGTTGCACGGCAACTACGTACACTGCTGTAGGCTGCATTACGTTACACCACGCTGGAATTTGGCCGGATGGGAACAATGTCGCCTTCGAGAGGGCAGGCAGCGTGGGCGATGCTCCCAAGCCCGTCCACGCCATCTGCGCGGTTCGCCCGAGACGCCAGCGCGGGTCTCAAGGCACGGAATTGGGTCGAGGAAGTGATAGGGCGCCGACTCCCGGAGGGCGACTTCGCCGCTGGCTTTAAAGATGGCCAGGGTCTGTGCGAGTTGGTCAACACCTTTCGTCCGGCTAGCATTCCGAAGATAGAGAGGTCAGCGTCTCCATTCCACCAGATGGCGAATATCAGCTCTTTCCTCAAGGCGTGCCGGATGCTTGGTGTTAGCGAGCACGTGCTCTTCGAAACTCTGGTGAGCAGGATTCTGCCCTCAACTCTTCGCAAAATATTTGATGACGCCTGTCGGCCGTTTTTTTTCAAGCACTTGCGACAGAACACAAGATTTACCGCAGTACTATACAGCAGTAGTTAGCGCGGAGAGCTGCGGAGATCAATAGGCAAAGAGCTGGATGCACACATGTATGCAGCTGCACAATTCTTGTCAAGGTACTGGCCGGTGACCACGTTGAGAGCGAAACCTTTCGCAACACGGTGGAGGTGGCTCTTTTGGCGGCTGACGATAATTTTTTTTACGCTGTGTGTGGCATCACTCTCGCGACTTTTTTGACCCTTTGGAATGGACCATGGATTTTGTTTGCACGTGCCCCTTGCTCCGTGCTGCGTTGGCAAACAAGAGCGCTGAACCGAAACATTTCGGCTGCTCCCAAAGGTGCAAGCAGCTGCTGTTGCTGCCACGAGCACTCTCGCTTGCAGTGGATGCCGTGTCGGTCACAACTTGTTTTTCCTCGCCCTCTTCCCCCTGCCGCCGCCGTTGTAAATATATAGGACCTGTTCAACGAGAACCGGTTGCCTCAGGTCGTTCGGTGCTTGTTTTCCCTGTCAGAGCTCGTTCGCACCACCATGCCGTCGTACCATGGGCCATACCTCGGCGCCCCGGACAAGCCGGAGGTGGACCCTGCCGTGCTGCATCTCGTCGACATCGCGAAGGGTAATGTTGTGCCGGCTGCGGGAGTCGCGCCGGCCGACGCAGGCGTTGCCAGCAGCGGCAAAAAGGGCAGTCGGGCGGCGGCGGCGGCGGCGGCGGCGGGGCTTGAGCCGCTGTCCCTCCCGAAACATGACGGCGAGGACGGAGCAACCTCGAGCAGGTGCTGCCTGTCGCCGGCAGCGCACGAGGCGGGTAAGCTTACGTACGGGGTGTACGAAGGAGGAGGAGGAGGAGGAGGAGGAGGACCAGCACCGGCGAAACCGCCGAGAACACCGGGTGCGGCGAGAACAGCGCGATTGCGAGCTGCCCGAACTCCAGGCCCGGACGATGCCGGTGTAGTGTCGGGTGAACAAGCCGCCGGTGGAGGAACCACGGACGCGCATCGGCGGCAAGCCCAAGAACCTGCTTCTGCTGCTGCACTCGGCGGCAAACGCAGTGGCGGGGCTGGTGCGGTGGCGCGGGAGGGCAGTGAAGGCGGGGGCGGCGGCGGCGGCGGCGCTGTCGAATACGCGGAGTCTGCGCTTTCGGTCGCCAACACCCCCAGACGTTGCAATCCGATGATGATGCCCTCGCCGAGAGCGGAGGGCGCATCCACGCCGCGAGGAGAGGTCGGCGGCGGCGGTAGCGGCGGTAGCGACGGTGGGGCGGTGGCGAGCGACTATTACGGCTTCGGACGGAGCAGCAGCTCCGTCGAGGATCAGGCCAGGAGGAGGAGGGAAGCCACGGCGCAAAATGATGCGGAGATGGAGGTGGCGCTGTGGATCGAGGGCGTTACCGGGGAGACGTTCCCGGGGAAGTTTTGGTCGAGCCTCAAGGATGGAGGTGAGGGAGGAAAAGACAAGAATTTTTGTGGGGAGCCATGCATAGAATTGCGTGCAGTAATTTGCCTTTCTTTTGGGTGGAGACGTGACGCTCTGCAACAGCGGTCAAAAATTCAGGACGGTACGGTGACTGGCATCATAGTGGCCAGCTGTCCGTCTCGCGGCGCACAGCTATCTGCTCGTGCAATTGAGAAAATTGAATTATCTTTCGGATTACTATTATATCGATATCCTAGAGTCGCAGCAGTGTTGTCTTCAACGTAAGTCCGCGAAAACGTGCTTTGGAGGTAATGAGAATAGTTTGGACGACAATGTGCCGTGTTATTTGCAGCGGTTTATTTATTCATTGGGGTCTGTAGTCCACCGCGCTTCAACGCGTCAACCACGGCCACGGCCCGAACCGTACCCACTTCAACTACCATGGCAGACTCCGCGTATACGTCAAGTGTTCATTCACTCCGTGTACAGTAGTAGGGTGCATATGCAGTCACGGACGCCGCACGCCGCACGCTTGTCTGCGGCAGCAACCCGTTTGTTGCAGAGACATGAGGCATGCATATGACACACCCACCACCCATCGTGTGTCACACGCGCTTTTCAACATCGCTTCGGTCAGCTGTTCGGCTATGCATAGTAGTGCGCTGGTTGTGCGAAAACTGGCACCGACATATGGTTGGACGTTTTAAGTTTCCGCACGTGTTGAGACCGCAGAAGAGCCCAGGAGGCTGGCTCTGTTTTGCTTCGTTTTTCTTGATTCAACGGATACATCAAGGCACGCGATGTGCTCGCTAACCACCAACCCCTAGCCACAGACAGCGAGTTGCCCCTCACTCTTCAAGTTTCAAAAGTAGTAAAGTATTCTTGTGTTGAGTTGTCGGCCCCGCGGGATAGATTGAAACACCGTTGACGAGTTGAAGCCGATTCGGAATTGCAACTTGGACTATTTTCTCTTCGGCTTGGGTCAAGAAGACGTTGCTCGTGCAGTTGGAAGTGCACCATTGCCGCGGTAGACATTTTCCAGGTGTCATTTCTGGCTGGACGTTATCTTGGAAATTACGAAACGAACGAAAGTACGACCATTTCCAACTCGATACATGTTCCCTGTTGGAAAAAGAAAGGTGACTGGGGGCACGACACAAACTCAAGGCAAGCGGCGTGACTTGCAAACTCGAAACACTCTAGCAATTGATCCCCTAACGGAGGCCACACGAAAGAGGCACCACGTGCACAGCTCGTCGGGGGTGGCTTTGTCGTTGCTGGTGATTCGGGCAAGTGGGGGGGGGGCGCTAACACGAACACATGGAGACCGGTGACAAGGCAAAGAGCTGTCCAGAGCAAAGATGGATATTTTTTTTGACAACGGTCGACCCTCGGCCAACTTCAAATCTCAGCCTCCCAACGCATTGCGGTCTCTCAACAATAGCCACACAAGAGGCACTATTCTCACTGCTACGTAAGAAAGCAATCTGAAGAAGCCATTTGTTGGTTTTGTCGGACTCCGACGAAGACACATGGCGAAATTTATTGCATTTCCGACTGGCTGGTCAAGACACCGCCGGAGCAATGCTTCTTTGTACATACTGCACTTCGTTTTTCACGCCACCAAAACGTTTACCTATACCAACTGTTTTTCCGCACCACGTAACCCCCCCCCCCCCTGCACGTACCCTTCACCATTGTCCTTCTGCAACAACAGTTCTGCTGTGTGACGTGTTGAACTCCATCAAGCCGGGGCTAGTCCCACAGGTGAACCCCTCTCGCGGGACCTTCGTCGAGTTGGAGAACATCTCCGCCTTCCTGTCCGGTTGCCGGAAGGTGGGGGTCCCCGAGCACTCGCTGTTCGACACGAAGGACCTTCACGAGAAGAGGGACATGCAGGTCGTGGTGCACTGCTTGCACGTTCTGGGCGCGGCGGTGCAGTCGACGGTGCCTGATTTCAGGGGGCCTTTGTTGGGTGAGGGAAGGGGTCTGTCCTGATCCTGTGGAGCTCGTCCTTTGCATAGGAGGATTTCTTTCTCCTTTGTTGCGTTCCCCTTTTGTACGTTTGTTCCAACACGCGAAACCCGACAACGTTTTGTACGGGTAGCACTCTATATTCGTTTCTATGGTACAGCGGACGGCTCCGTGGAGCCGTTGAGCCGCGCAGACAGCGGTAGACTCTTTCCAATCAGTGGTCACCTTTTTTTCTGTCGAGATGGCAAGCTTTGATGCGCACTTTTTTTCGGCTCCCGAACCCGAGCTTAGCAATAATCCCCACCGTCCGTACGAGAAATCATCTACAAGTACAGTAGGACCGATCTCGCAGCCTTTGTTACGCCCCCGCAACCACCAAAAGCTATCCGCCCGGCCCCGCTCCGCCTTAATCCCGCCCTACCGACCCAGGCAAAAAGTCGGAGGCTTTGTCAATCGTGAACGCTCGAGGTTTGAGGAAACGGCTGGGGAAAGGCCCCGGAGCGAGAGGCGGGATCCACACCCTCACCGCCCACAAGGGCGGCGCCGGCGAGTACGTCGGGTCTGGCGACGTACCGATCGAGCAGCCCGACCCCACGGCGACCATGACGCCCGCGGAGTCGCCCTCCGGCAAGCGGGCCTCCCGCCGGCGAGAAGCTTCGGACTCGGCGGGGGGCTCCGGCGTGGTGGCGGCTGGTACCCCCGCCTCCCCCCGCGCGATAGCGGAGGGGCTCTCCGGCGGCGTCTTGCCCGCCGTGATCTTGGAGGAGGAGGCGCCCGCGGGGATGACCTCGGCGGTCGTGCGCGTCGAGCGGCAGGGCAGGCGCGGCGCGAGACCGGCGGAGGAGGCGGGGGGTGGCGGCAGTGGGCGGCAGAACCTGGCGGGACTGTTCGCGGACGCGGCGTTGGCGGCGGATCCTCGAGAAAGCAGGGGGCGAGGGGGAGCGGTGGCATTACGACGGACTGCCAGTGGGGCGAGCGGCGTCAGCGGCAACCAACAGCGGCGCAGCAGAGGCGCTCACAGGCAGCGGCACCACCAGCAGCGCAAGGACGAGGACGGCGAGGGCGTTGTGTCCCAGGTCCAGCGGTTCGTGGAGCTGCACACTCGCCAGCCGTGGCGCGTCAGCGGGGACATGCACGAGAGCCTGCGGGACGGCTGGCAGCTCGCCCTGCTGGCCAACGCCCTGCGACCGGGAGCCGTACGGTGCGTGCACAACTCCATCCAGCCCGTCAAGCACATCCAGAACATCGCCGGCTTCCTCATCGCCTGCCGGCGGATGGGGGTGGCTCGCGCCCTGCTGTTCGACATCGAGGACCTCTACGAGAAGAGAAGCAACACCAGGGTCGCGAGGACGCTGCTAGCGCTGCGGGCGCTGGCGGCCGATCCGGACTTCGCTCTCGCGAGGCCTTCCTCGCTGATTGGCACCTCTCTGCTCGTGAACGCTGCTGCGGCTGCTGCGAAAACCGGGTTGGCGTCGGGGCCGCCGTCAGCGGCATCGGCGGGTGGTCGCAGATAGTGGGGGATGCTACAATCGGGGGGAAAGTTTGGTAGTAAGCTGGTTGCCGTCTAGCTTGGTCGCTCCCTCTGGTCTTGTTGGTCCTCCAGATTACAATAGCCGAGTGTTGTTACCCTATTGAGGAATACATGTGGCGTAGATTTCTAGATTTTAGGAAGTATACATAATCTCACAGAAAGACTATCCGTTCGAGATTCATTGCAAGTGTGTGGTCGAGTGTGTTTTAGTAGCGG